TTAAATAAAGGTTAATAAATGTTAAATAAAGGTTAATAAATGTTAAATAAAGGTTAATAAATGTGAAATAAAGGTTATTAAATGTTAAATAAAGGTTATTGAATGTTAAATAAAGGTTATTAAATGTTAAATAAAGGTTATTAAATGTGAAATAAAGGTTAATAAATGTGAAATAAAGGTTAATAAATGTGAAATAAAGGTTAATAAATGTGTTTTTCCAGCATGCTGCAAGTTGCTGCTCTGGCATTGGCTTTAACAGTACACGTGGTTCACGTGTACTGTTAAAGCCAATCACGAAACTTGGCACCAGAAGACAAGGCGTATTTTGATACTTAGTACTACAGAAGCAGTTCGGTCGGTACCATAAAAGAACCAAGGTTTGGTACTCAACCCATGTCATGTGTGGGATTTCTCCTTCTGCCTGGCTCCTGAGCTAGTGGGGACGCTGTCTGCTCTGTGGTACAGAGTCCTGATGACTCCTAACTTGTGCTCCAAAGGGTGATGGGAGTCAAACTGCAAATACTGGTCTGTGTGGGTGGGTTTGTGGTACACCTCAGTTATGTCCTTTATCAGAGACCTACCCATCCATCATTAAAGAGGGGCGGAGCCTCCGTGTTCAACTGTCCCCCTCTTACAGTGCTGTTATTGCCAGTATCACTCCGCCCCCTGTGAATAACAAACAGCCATCAGAACACTAATGATCCGGTGTTCTCCTTGATCATGTGAGCAGCTGGTTGTGGATGTCATCAACAAACTGGTGGACGCACTTTGAGAAGGGGTTATTTAAAAGACCGAGTTTGATGCAGCTCCTGTGACTGAAGAAGTCCTTCGGATAAAAGATGAAACATTTCAATAAGAATCCTTCCAGAGGACCTGACTCGGGCCCGTTTACACGAGAACAACCTCTGGAAACGTCTTTTTCCATGTTCATTGGGATTAATCAAACAAAAAATGAGCGGGTTTACAGGAAAACACTGTAGTTTCCATGTCAGTCGGGTTGCCAGATAAGAAACGATGAACTATAGTACTGTGACTTTAAAGTGATAGTATGTTGACCTAAACTGTCATGTGCTGAGTAAAGACTTTCTAAGATGAGATCTTTGTGTGTCCCGAGCCTCTGGAGTCAAACGTTTGTTTTTGTTCTTTGTTTACTAGGAAGCTCTAGAAAAGAAGGAGAAGCGAGCGAGACGTTTTCATTTCCGCTGCGAGGACACTGTCTGTCAGAGGACTGTCTTCCTGGACAAAGACGCTTTGAGTAAAGGTGTGACTCGGCGTTTTGTTTCTGCTTGTTTACTAACAGTTTGTTGACTCTGTCGTCTTCTTCTGTGGCGTTCAGCCATCCCCAAACTGCGCATGGAAGCAATCCACGTGACGGGCGTGGACGACATGAGCACCCAGGATGTCTTCGGCTACTTCGCGGAGTATCCGCCTGCGCACATCGAGTGGATCAACGACACTTCCTGTGAGTCTCCAAACAGAACCTTTAAATGTTCTGCTCTGAGTGGCGCCAGCTCACCTGTTCCTTCGTCTCCTAGGCAACGTGGTCTGGCTGGACAACGACACCTGCATCAGAGCGCTCATCAACACCAGCCGGATGGCTGAGCCTGAGCTCGTTACCACGGCAACAGAGTCCCACGAGCAGAGCCAAGGTCAGAACCGGGCTCCATGAGTTCTGGAGCTGCAGGGCATTGTGGGTAAACGAGTCTGTTTGAACACTGTAGATCGCCAAGCTCAAGGCTCAGATGACGATGATGAAGAGGAGGGAGAGGTGGATGAAGAGGAGGAGGAGGAGGAGTCAGTGAAGAAGAGCAGAGATGAAGAGGCGGAGCCACTGAAGAAGGAAGGCAGCGGCCAAGTAGATCAGAGGGTACTGTGATGTCATGTCTTGATGGTAATGACTCGGCTGTTTGATGGATGACTCGGATGTTTGATGACTCGGATGTTTGATGGGTGACTCGGATGTTTGATGACTCGGATGTTTGGTGGATCACTCGGATGTTTGATGATGACTCGGATGTTTGACGATGACTCGGATGTTTGACGATGACTCGGATGTTTGATGACTCGGATGTTTGATGATGACTCGGATGTTTGATGGGTGACTCGGATGTTTGATGATGACTCGGATGTTTGATGATGACTCGGATGTTTGGTGGATCACTCGGATGTTTGATGATGACTCAGATGTTTGATGATGACTCGGATGTTTGACGATGACTCGGATGTTTGACGATGACTCGGATGTTTGATGATGACTCTGATGTTTGGTGATGACTCAGATGTTTGATGATGACTCTGATGTTTGGTGATGACTCAGATGTTTGGTGATGACTCAGATGTTTGATGATGACTCTGATGTTTGATGATGACTCGGATGCTTGATGATGACTCAGATGTTTGATGATGACTCGGATGTTTGACGATGACTCGGATGTTTGACGATGACTCAGATGTTTGATGATGACTCTGATGTTTGATGATGACTCAGATGTTTGATGATGACTCGGATGTTTGACGATGACTCGGATGTTTGACGATGACTCAGATGTTTGGTGATGACTCTGATGTTTGGTGATGACTCGGATGTTTGATGATGACTCGGATGTTTGTGTCTCAGATGGAGCTGTCTGAAGCTGAACGAGAGTCTCTGCTGAGGAACGACCTGCGACCCGTCATCAAACCGTTCAGAGGAAACAAACTGCTGCTGCGCTTCGCCACGCAAGGTCACACACAATTGTGTTCGAATTGTTGACAGTGTAGTTTGAAATGGTTTTTAAATCTACATGTGATGTTCTATCTTCTACATTGGACCTCAGAACTGGGTCACATGGTCTCACAAACGTCCAGAAGCTGTACATCAGTGGACCATAATGCATTGCGTCCTGAGCCGCCACATATTCCTCCTCTGACTGAGCTGCAGGGTTAGAAAAATATTAAATTCAAGCTCAAACTATCTAAAACATTAAAACTCAAACGTGTTGTAAATGTTTAAATTTAAACATGTTCAACGCAGTTTCCCCGACCAGCCATTATTCAAGCTGGGCACCCCGCCTTCCGAACCAAACTGCACCCCACCCCCAAATTTTTTAAGTTTTTAATGAAGTCATTGGTGGGCTGGACTTAAACTGGGCCATTTCAGCTGATGTAAAGCTGCGGCTCACATGTTGTCTGCAGCTGTGAAGTCACTGAAGCTGTTAATGTTGCTCTTTGTTCCTGTAAAACACACGTGTGTAAACTAGGGACGGGGCCGATCCAGTATCGGCCTCCGATACCAGCATAATTTACTCATCAGATTTTTCTGATCCATGATGCACGTTGGCTTCAAACTATGGGATGGATTTCCTGAACGTGTCTCATGATCCAGAGTACTAAGACCCGCCCCACATTCAGGAAATCCAGTCCATAGTTTGCAGCAGCTGCAACATGAGGACTGAGTTAGCAGCACTGTGGCTAACAGCTAACAAACTTTCATGTAAACATGTCGCTGTGTGGAAGTATTTTACACTGAACACCACAAGACAAGACAGCAACGTGCACGGTCTGCAGAGCCACAGCGCCACATTAAACCACGGTCAAGTTAGTTTTACGATGGACATTCGAGCTCCGGGGCTTCAGCGGTCTGCTCCTCTCACTGAACCTGAAGCAGGCGACTTGACCCCGGCCAGCCACGTCCAACCTGTCCCGCTCCGTCTGCCCGTCTCCGAGGAGGGACAGACTGAAATGAGAGTGAACAAGAAGAAGACGTCGCTGAAGCCCCGGAGCTCAAATATTTACTGAGAAGTTGCTAAACTTCATCATTAATGACCAACAGCTATCAGTTGGAGAAAACGAAGGATTTCACAGTTTGATACTTGCAGCCAAGATCTAGTTGAACCTCCAGGAGACATTTATCAGAACAACAGGAGACAATCATAAAAAACACATTTGAAAATTAAATATATTAAAAACATAAACAGCTACATTATAAAGTGATGTAAAATACTAAAAACAGGAACATGTCTGTTGGTTTGTCATGAACTTAGCAGGTTTTTGAAGACATTTAACATTTAATTAATTTATTCATCAAAATTTAAAAGAAACAAAAACAAACTAAATCATCAAGAAGAAAACATTGAATGAAAAGAGTTCAGAAAGAAGAAAAATAATTTTATATCTGCCCCTTATTTAAAAACAATATTAAATAACTTTAAACGATCACTTAAATTAATCACTTTAATATTCACTTTAAAACTAGGAATAAAAAGAAACGTGTTTTAAAGTTAGAATCTAATTCTAAGTTTAAAACTTCTCCAACTTTAATAAAACTTCCCTGAAGTTGTCTTGTTGGACATGCATGCATAGATTTGTACAGATTGTACTTGAGGAGATTATTACAGCCTCATGTAAAATCAATGATCAGGATATTGGATCGGTATCGGACGATACTCAGACTTGGGGATCGGGATCAGATCGGAAGTTAAGAAATGTGGATCGGTGCAACTCTAGTTTAAATAAATGTTGTCTCATGAATCTCCTCGTGGGTTTCTGCTCTGAACGTTCCTCAGGTTCTCAATGGTGTTTGCTCTTCTGTTGCAGATGATAAGAAGGAGCTGGGAGCGGCCCGGCGCAGCAGATACTACATGAAGTACGGAAACCCAAATTACGGCGGCATGAAGGGTATCCTCAGCAACTCCTGGTCAGACTCCTCACCGTCAGCGGGGACACTCTCTGGGTTTAGCTGCAGCTCCGTGGGGTTTCAACGCTCATCGGTCATTTGTGCTGTGCACCACACGGACAACCTGTCTGACAACTGTTTAGTTTCATAGCTTCCATCTTTCAGAGCAAACTGGTCTGACAGTGCTCACTGGTGGTGTGGAGGAACACCAGTTAAAACATTAAGAAAATCAGTCAGTAAAGTTATGCGTTAATTAAAATATATGAGATTATCATAGTTGATGAGATGTGACTCCTAAAACTAATGACGAAATAAAACATCAAACTGACTAAAATAAAACAAAAACACAATTTTTGGATGTTTCCTGTTTCCTGTTGTGTTCAGGAAGAGGAGGTATCACAACCGCCGCATCCAGAGGGACGTCCTCAAGAGCAAGAAGCCCCTGATCGGAGACAGCATGGGACACACCCCACCGTACACGCACCGACACTCGGGTAAAACCTCAGTCTGAAGCAGGTCGGCTGCCTAATGTCTCTTTCTGTTACCCAGAATCCTCTGCTTCCTATCTCTCAGCTGATCTGGTCAACCTGCCCGAGGAGCCTATCAAGGAGGAGGAGGAGGACGAAGAGGATGACGATGACAGAGACGAGGACATGGACTCAGACGACAGGGTAGTGGAATACAAGGACAGAGGCAGCGGCTCGCGGTTGGCAAGGGCGGGGCTTCAGAGCCGGACGGAGCGTTCTCCGTCTCCATGGTCAGAGTCAGACGAGATGGATTATGACCTGGAGCTGAAGATGATCTCTACACCTTCACCCAAGAAGAGCAAGAAGATGACGATGTACGCCGACGAGCTAGAAACTCACCTGAAGAGCATCCGGTCAGAGCCGCTCACCTACTTAAAAGCTGTTCCCTTCTGCTTAAAAGCTGTTCCCTTCTGCTTAAAAGCTGTTCCCTTCTGCTTAAAAGCTGTCCACACCTACTTAAAACCTGTCCACACCTACTTAAAACCTGTCCACACCTACTTAAAACTTGTCCACACCTGTTTTGTACTCGCCTGTTTGTTTCAAACCTGTTCACCAGTTAATCTTGAACACGTAACTTTTTCTCATAAATTAGAATCAGTTTGAGTCTGACCGCAGGTTTTTTGTGTCTTACAGAAACCGGATTGGTGAGTCGGGATCACAGACCACAACCAAGTCTTTGTCGCCCCCTAAGGTGACGGATGTTCGGCAGCTGCTGGAGGAGAAGCGACAGGGTCAGTCTCAGCAGAGACAGCGCTCACCTGTGGCCAACAGTGGGAAGACAGGTGAGCCGACGGATCCAGGTGTTCTGGTAGATCCAGATGAGCTGATGGATCCAGGTGTTGGTCCAGAACATGGATTCTTCTTACTCTGAAACTGTCTGCAGATGTCCGGCAGCGACTTGGAAAGAGACGGTACTCTCCAGACAGACGGCATTCCCCCTCTCCTGTCTCCTCCCAGGACACGCCTCCAGCCAGAGAGCCAATCAGCAGTGTGCACCGCAGACTGGGCGTGGCCAGTCAGGACAACAGGGTCGTCTACTCAAAGTCCTCCAAAGACAGAAAGACGAGTATGAAAACTGCAGCACACATCCTTGTCGTATTCTTTAAAGTTTCTGCTGCAGAGGAAACTACTTTATTTAACAGTAAAAATCTAAACACAAAGAGCAAACAAGGTCACACAAGAAAACTACACAATGGAAAAAGTTAAGAATAAAACAGTCAAAACATTTATTCTCCCAGTCAGCGTCCACATTTCAACCTGAGGGCGACTGGAGACTGTAAGGGTGTGGCAGGGGAGAGCGAAGGAGGTTCTAGTAACGTTTTTAATGTGGGGGATAAAAGACGTGTCCTGATCAAAAATAACACCAAGATTTTTAACATTAGAGCAGGAGGACAGATTAATGCATCTAAGGAGGGAGAAAGACTGAAACATTCATTCCTAAGGTGCTCAGGTCCAAAAACTAAAACCTCAGACTTGTCTGTGTTCTAAAGGAGAAAACTAAGGGTCATCCAGGTTTTTATGTCTTTAAGACATGCTTGTAGTCTAAGTAGCTGATTGGATTATTTGGGTTTAATGGACAAATATAATTGTGTGTCATATCCTGATGCTTGCTCAATAATCCAGGTAAAAAAAAATCTAAAGAAGTTAAGTCTGGTCCCCTGGACTGGTCCAGAAAACAAAAAAAAAATTGTAGAAACGTTTCGTCTTTCATCCGAAAGACTTCGGTCTGAGGAGCTGTTTTCAGCTCTGTCTTATAAATAGCACCTTCTCATAGTGGATCAACCACTGATTGATTGATTGATTGATGATAACTGTGTATCATCAGCATAACAATGAGCATTTATCCCATGCTGTTTAATAACTTTACCTAATGGAAGCGTATACAAGGTAAAGAGTATTGGTCCAACCACTGAACCCTGAGGAACTCCATGATTAACTTTGGTGTATGATGACGATTCATTATTTATATTTACAAATTGGAATCTGTCAAATAAATGATTTAAACCAATTTAGAGCCGTTCCTGTAATTCCAACATCATACTCAAGCCTCTGTAGTAGATTATACTATGATGAGCTCTAAACTCTGACTGAAACGTTTCAAACAGATTTCTAAGTAAATATTTGTCTTAAGAAGTGTCAGAAATGAAGATGTTGAGGTTCTCCTTAGGAGAGACAAGGATGGAGAAGATCAGGAATGAGATCATCAGAGGTACAGCACAGGTTGAACACCTGGGAGATAAAGTTAGAGAGGACACACTGAGATGGTTTGGACATGTCCAGAGGAGGGACGGTGGTTTGGACATGTCCAG